AAATACGTGAAGTTGATATTATGATCATCTGCGCTAAATGATGAGCATATGTTGGAAAGTGAGAATCTGTTGATAGACTGAAGGAATGAAAAGAATGCGAAAAGCTGATCAGATAATCCTTTTAATATGCATAGAGATAATAGCAATCACGGCGACCATAAAAAGGGGAAGTAGACGAATGCCGGGAATATGATTCAGTATAGGCAGTATCGAGAATATCTCCAGTTTATCATTTCAGTTTGTCTTCGATTTATCATTCGAATCCGTAATTCACACTGCACGGCACAACTCAATCATTCAATGACTCAAATTGCTGTAATTAATCAAATCTAGCTGTTGGTTGATAAATCTTAAAGAAACGCTTACGAATTTCTACCGTCCACTGAAAAACCCGCGGCACACACGAGAGTTCCTATCATAACCTTACGAAACTTACACTGTACACACACCGCTAACATACGATTTTGAGGTCAACGGGTCAAGATAATGTTCTTCTTGCATATGTCTATAAGAAAATAGAAGCTCTTTTTCTGTAAAATATGCTCTCACTTACCATGGCACGACCCTCGTCATGACCGATGGCATCAGCTGCGGCAATCTGAACGTGTTTTTGAGGAGTTGTGCCCTGCAATTTGAATTATTGATTCCAGTGATAAACTGAATTATGTATCAAACTAGTTTATTTCAATACATTCTTAACTTCAGCATATTCCAATACAGTTCGATTACTATTAATCGCTCAAAGATCAAAAAAATTATCACCAGGAAAAATGTCCACTTCTGCAAAGAAAATTCTTAAATGCGATGAGCACCACTCTTGATTCAAACAACTCGATTCCCTGTTCTAGCTTTGAGTAACTGTTTATAGGAAACCTGATGAGTTGCTGTTGTCAGTGAATTGTCGATATCTTGTGCGGTGGATAATTTATTCACTGCAGTAGTGAGCGATTCTTCTTCCTGAACGAATTCATCACTTCTATTGTTTTTTATCAATGGTTCAGCAGTTATTCGGCAATTTTTCTTTCACTATGGAGAACTTTACGGTAGGCTGATTGAAAGTGGTTCGTTAAAAGCGACGAACCTCAAGCATTCTGAGGGAATCAGCATCTTTCTGCAAGCTCATCATCTCTTCTTGATGTTTCGCATGTCCACGTTCTACATCCGCAACGTCCTGCAAACGATTGATGAGAACGACAATGATTAGTCAAGAAATAAAATGATGTTTTCAACAAAGTCAAGTATTGAAATGCTCGGAAAGAAATTCCCAATGTTAAATGGAATGCTTTTGCAGTCGAAAGATTTTGCACTTCCTAAACAACTAACGACAAATCGATCAAGTCCAATAACTAACGACTGCGTTAAGTGTGCCAAGTGCATAGTAAGAGTCGCTGAAAATTTTCGTTGGCATACTCCATTTTGACTCACTCCACTGCAAGTATTCTATTGATCACGCAATTAACATCATCAGAAACATTCACTTAGCCCATTTCAATCCCACAATTGCTATGCTACTTTCGATATCAAATTTCAACCAAACTCAGTGAACGCACCGCTCGAAATTTGAAATGCACATTAATGTCATACACCACACTGATGTCATAAAAGAATGATAAATTCTTAGCGAAAATCCGTTTCCCCAATTCAACCAACACTAGAAAAGCCGCTAACAGGCCCCTCTCGTGATTGATTGACGGTCGTCGTCTTATTCGAATGTAATGCATCATTGGCGCGATTGAAAACGGTCGTCGTCTTATTCGAATGAAATGCATCACTGTCACGATTGAAAACGTTTTCATGCTCAACCGATGAATACGCTCCATAGGCATTTGCCGCCGGTCCACCACTGAATGGCGTGTGAGCATTAGTTTGCATGAAATTCTGAAAACCAGCACCTAGCGGTGATGAACCTCTCGGGTTCACATACTCCAATCCTCCGAGTCTTGGTAGTGCATTCGGTATATCCCCTGCTGCTCCTCTGCTCAGAAACTTGCTCATTTGTTTATGAGTTTTTTGCATCTGCAATTATTTATACGACATTCCTGAAATCAATGCATTCAACTTTTTTTTTNTTTTTGCATCTGCAATTATTTATACGACATTCCTGAAATCAATGCATTCAACTTTTTTTTTCAAATGAATTTCCACAGAAGGTCGTTTCGTGCTCAATTTGCACCCAGTTATCTAAATTCAAGTAAAGTATTTTATGTGTAAAATCGAATGCATAATGTGGAGAAACGACCACGGTCCTTCAGTCTCGTTTTACGTTCACTTGTACTGCGCTGAGAAGGTGCACTCGAAAAAGCTTTCTTTCCATTTAGACAGATTTCTTTGGTAATGATGATAACTGATCCAAAATTCGTCACTTGGCCTCATAAAACTTCATTCACAATACCGTATAATTGCTCATGCAGAATGATCACTTCAACTTCAACTCCAACTCCATTCAAAATCGCACCTCAGAACGCTTCCCATGATCCATCTCCGACGACACTTCGCTCTCCTCCAGGATGGTCTCATCAGCAGGGAAGTAGACACTGTTACCGTGAAAACCCGGTAGACGACCAATCGAAAAGTATGAACTCATCTCAGCCACAACAACCACTTGAACAATGAACAACAACAACGACTTGAACAATGAACAATTTGTTCAAATCGTCGGCTTTTTATAGAGTTTTTTGAAACGGGAATTTGTATATGTAATTTATTCATCGTTTGAAAACAGCAATT